CTTTCCCCAAGGCTGCCCGCTGCGAAGGAATTACGAATTCTAGCAGCTGAAATCTAAGGTGTAATAAGCTCTTCCTATAAACTCGGGGCGTCTGAGAGCCTGTTGGCTGCCCTCTGCGACGGGACCCCGGTCCTAGCAGTAAAGTCACAGACGTTAAACTATTTTTCGGGGCACCCTCCAGCCTTCTAGGCTGCCCACTGCAACGAGACTTTGTGTCTCAGCAGTTGAAGACTTGGGTGTAACACACACGCGCACACTGTCCTGACCATTTCGGCTGACAGATATATACCATTCTGAACCACCCCTGAAGACAACGCGTATGGAATTTGGCATGCTTTATGACAAATGCGCCCACTGCTTGTGACCCAGTAGTTGCAGACAAGTTCTGGCCAAGTTGTGTGGAGTTCCCTGAACTATTGAGATTAAGCTGGCTAAAGTGGGAAGTAGGCTTTGGCCTCCGCTGCATCTAGGTAGACTTCTGTGAATTCTAGCTATTGCACTGGTGTCAAAGTAGACTTTGGGTTATTATTTATAGTCCCAGTCAGAATAACAGAGCTATCGTCTTTTGTGTCTCTCACAAGTTATTGGTGAAGGAACATGCTTTGTGCAGACAGTCTTTGAGATATGTAAATATTATGATGCCTTGTTTGTGAAGATATGCTGCTATCACAGAAAAGATGTGCAGGAATACCTTGGGTACTGATGATAAGAGCACTTTATATTGGAAATTATCTTGACTAAGGTGAAATGGTAAGAATCACCTCTGGGATTGACATATTCTGATATGAAAGTAAGTGTCCTGTAGGTTGAGGCTTCAGAACCAGTGCTCCCATCCAAAGATGGAACTCTTACTGCCAAGATAACCATCTTTAAATAAATCTGTTGAGTGCTCTTTAATGAAGAATGGGTCTTCAACCACTGTTCTTTTTCTGAAACTGTACTTATCAGGAAGTAGTTTTAACATGGTGCTGTCTGTCAGGTTCATTAACAGTGTGGACAACCATTGAATTTGGAGGTGGGTGAGAAAACAATTATAGGCATATAATATTTGTATGCCTGTTTGCATGTATTTGTTCAGTTTCTGCCATATAGTTTTCTCTGGATCAAGAAGACCCTCGTTTATAGGGAGTGTAAGTCTGGCTGATGGCAATGTCTGGATGTCTGCAGGATGTCAAGTAGTTTGTGCTGTTATTCTTTGACTTCTTCAAGTGGGATTTGAAGGAGATCTGCTACCTTCTTAAAGAGGTTTGAAACTGCTTGAAGTTGTCTGCTGTTGGTGGTGGGAGGGCTGCCTTGTCAGGAGATGAGGAAATGTTGGTAACTAGAATGCTTCCTTATCTAGTCTCTTCTCCTGTTCCTCAAAGATCAGCACTTGAGGATCAGGAGGTCTAACTGTTGAGACTGAGGGAGATCATCTTTTTCTATCTTTCTGGGTGATGCTAGAGGTTCTTGAAAATTGTTGTGTATATGCCACCCATGCGTCCCCCTGTGGCCACAGAGGTGGTGAAAATGGCATGTGCAGGGGCACCAAACGGGTATCCATTCCAACTGTCTCTTCTGTTTTGGAAGAAGATTGAAGGTACATGATTCCACCTGGCTCGCTCCTTGGTGTTACAATGGAGAAACATGGATTAACAATGAAAATAAGTCATCCCCATCCTCATCATTGTCATTGCTTGCCCAAGATCGAGCAGTCATGGATGGTGGAATAGACTATCACAGTACCACATGTAAATCTAGAGACCTGGGTGTAATTCATACCTCAGTTATGTCAGTGCCAAGTAATGGTGATTCAGGCATCTTTGAGGCCATCAAGACTTTGGGGAACTGAAATTACGGCAGTACTGGAATATCCATCAGTACCATTGAGATCATTGGAATAGGTGCCATTGAAGTGGAGACTGCCATCTATTCTAGAACCCTAGGCTCTGCACTCTCAGAAATGGCCAGCAGGCATCATTGTAGTCTTTAACGATGCCAGTATACTCAGCAGTAATTGTCTATAACAGACATGGCCAAACTGTGGTTTCTGAGCTATATGTAGCTCTTTTACACTTAGGCTTCGTCTTCACTGCCAGTTCTTCTGGCAGAAAATATGCTAATGAGAAACTCATTAGCATAAATTGCAATCTCATTGCATATTTTCTGCTGTTTCCTTTTGCTCAAAGGATTTTTGTGCAAAAAGAAGCAGTGTGGACTTTTTTGGTTGTACAAACCCCCCATTTTGCGCAAGATTCTTATGCCTGTCCTGGACTGATTCCATATTGGATGGCTCACACATTATCAACCAACCAACCAACCGATGAAGGTGCTAATGGTTCTTGATGTCAGTGTAGAATCTGGTGTTGGTCATCTTCCTTTCCAAGTGCAAACTAAAGGTTCTTATCAGCCTCTTGTAACTATTTAGTCATTGAGATGCTTCTAGACTAATTGTTGTGTTTTAAGTTTTTCCTGTTACTGAGTTGGCTACCCCTCTGAAGCTTATCTGGACTTCCAACACTCTGGTCATCTGAACACACTTCCAGCACTTCTGAAGCTTATCTGGATCTGGACTTCCAACACTCCTATTACCTGAAGAAGTGTGTTCTGCCCACGAAAGCGCATGCTACCATCTACATGTTTTGTTAGTCTTTAAGGTGCTACAACACTATTTGTTTTTTAAGTTTTTGCTGTTACAGGCTAACTTGGCTACCCCTCTAAAGCAGGCTGGTGTAAGTCTAGAGACAGCCTGAGGAAGTGGCAGGCACAAACAGGCAGAAGCAGCTGGATACCATATTTGTAGTACAGCGCCTCCCGGCAAAGCCAAAGCTGTAGGGGGCTGAGCACAGCACTGCGTCCCCTAGCAGGGAGCTGAAGCACCAAAAGCGCCAGAAGCTGAGAGCAGGCCCAGCCACGGACTAGGCATTTGGCTGGTAAGGAGCTGGAGGATTGAACCAGCAATGGAAAAGTAGAGAATGGAGGGGCGGGGTTATGCAAACGAGCCGCTGGTTCGGTTAAACTACAGCGTTCCCAACAATAGAGTTCGTTACCGTTCAGTTGGAGTGAACTGAGCATGCGCACAATCTATAGCTCGGGTCCCTTGATCGTTTGCTTACTCACAGCTAGTTTGTTGGCGAGCGGAAGTGCGTCGCTATGTGCTCACGTCCGGTGTGTGGGCGCGCGGGTTGATTCGGTGTGTGTCCGGGTGACTTGGCTGGTGGCGCTGCTCCCAAATGGCGGGTAAGTTGTGGCGGCGGAAACCAGCGGTGGTGCGCCAGGCAGGGTCCCGGTTCTCGCTCGGGGCCTGCCCTGGGAGGCAGGAGTTTCCAGGCGTGTCCGGTGCCGCTGCTCGCGGGGCTTCCTGCTTCCCCCGGGAGTGCGGGGAGCAGCAGCTCCATCTTCGTCGCGTTGTTTGGGGGAAGCTGCCGTGGTCCCGTCGGCGACTTGTTTGCCAGTCCCCGGGGTACGGTGCCCGGTTCCTGTCACATCTCTTGCCCCGTCCCTTGGAGTCTGGGGGTGCGACCCGGTCTCCGGACAGCCCCGGAGGGTTCCGGACAGCCGCGGGGTTAGGGACGTGCTCACCGGGAAGCAGGAGTCCAGAAGATTTTTACGAGCCGATGAGATTCTTGACAGGCGGTCTGCACTCTGCCTCTGAAAAAGAGTTAGGGAGACATGATTTGCAATGGCTCTGCACAATAGGCCCTGGCCAAGGATACGTTTCTGATGGCCTGTTGAGACCATTACAACAACCTTTAAAGTGATAAACATAGAGTAACAGCAATTTTTTCCTTCAGTGCCAAGTAGCCTTTGATATCCTGCATGAAAATTATGGATCTCAGAAACTAGCTAAACTCAAAACTAATATCTTGTTTGAAAATGCTTTTCCCTATTAGAAAAAAGTTTTCATTTGAAACTGAAAATGGATGGCCTGAAATCAGAGGAAAATCTTTTGTGCAAACTTCAGCTAATTTATAAGATGGGTTTTAGACAATGTAGGAAAAATATACTTTTACCATTTTGTAAATCTGTGGCAGAAAAATAATTTGATTTAGAATTGTTTTTAAGCTGTTGTCCTTGGTAAGTTCAGGTGCATGTAAGATGGGGCAATGATTGTGTACACTAGAAATGTGTGAGATGCACAAGTAACTAGGTATCAGAAATTAATTCAAGTTTTGGAGTTATTTGCTCATCATTATTCAATGCTTTATGAGATTTAGGCAGAACTTTTACTGAAGTTCTTTTACTGCCCAGCTCAAGGGTAGTCATGACTTGCAAAAGAAAAACAATTGCTCTTCAGGGATGTTAAATATGGAATAACTGACTAATTGAATAGTTGATGCATTAGTTAATAGGGCGCCTCCACCTTTGAGCTGTAGCAACAGCCCCAGTGACACATCAAAGGTGCAAGTGCCATGTGGAGCCCAGGGTCAGCTGGAGACTCTCCATGATCCCAGGCTCCATGTGACGCTGCCACTTCAAAATGCTGTGTGCAGCCTGGGGACACACCCCAGCTGGCCCTGGACTGCAGGCAGTGTTGCCTTCTGATAGAGGCAGCAGGGGGGACGGGGAGAGCGACTAGTCTGTCGACTGTCTTTATTGAATTGAATTCCAGTTTCTGTTCAATCTAGATTTCACAGATCACAAGCGGAAAAACTAAAGATCTAATAAGAAATGCATTTTCTCACATAATAAAAATGTAAATGTTAAGCATCTGAACAAATGTTTGTATGTAACCTTTATAATAGTGTATCCTCCTGGCTAGTAAAAAGCAGGACCAGACTTAGTATAGAGCAGGGATGGGTAAACTGCAGCTTGCCAAATCTCTGGATGCGGCCTGTGGGGCACCCTACCCAGACCCTCAAGCACAGAACAGCCCCATGCTGCTTTAGGTGACTGACTGCTCCCTGTAGCTCTCTGCTCTGGGTATCAGAGGTAAAGGGAGGCTTCACACATTGCCCCTGTCAGTCCCCATAATACACGAGGTTCGAAGGGATGCCGGAAAGGATGAGACCACAACTGGGGGTTTTAAAAAGCACAAACTGATTTTATTTTGATGGCGCCAGACAATCATCAGAACAAAAATTAAACAGATTGCCAGACAACACAAAACAATTCCCTGAGGCTTTTCTAAATCACAATAATTCCCAATAACTGCCCAGGGGTTAGGAACAGTTGAATGAACACTGGTATTGTCCATAGGGCTGATTATTTACACAACTTTATACAAGGAAACAGTAAAAAACCTAAACCACAACTATTTATAAACTAACTTAGTAACTTTTTAGCCACTGTCACTTGACAAGCAATAAGGACAACTAAAAATCAATTAGTATAGGGATGATGGCAGGTGGTTATACCAATTCTGGAGACAGCAGGAGCACAAGTACCGGTCACATGCTCATAAACTGTCTCCACTCGGGTCGACCAACTCGGAGTACGCTCAGTAAGACTCGAGAGCGGGGGGTGCAAGGCGTCTGGGTGATCAGGCTAGGCGTTCACTCGATGCAAATCCCCAGTGAGAGAGGGGCTGCCTGCCTGTTTTATTGCCTGTGAACTTATCACCCCATAGGTTGGTTTTTGCTGCAGTGGGTGGAGTAGCAGGCCTGAGCACAAGTCAGCCCATTGGCTGATCTTTCACTGCAATGGGTGGAGCGAGCAGGGGAAGATTATTAATTTACATGCCCTTATATGGAAAACACTCCACCTCACAGACAGAGCCCCCTATACCAGCCTTAGAGGTATTACAGTCTATGTCTCCCTGCGACGGGCAGCCATTTCTGATGTTCTGTCTCGGACAGCCCCCACCCCCAGCACAATTTTTCAGCTCCTATTGGCCAGTTTCTGAGAAATTGTGCTGGGGTGGGGGTAGCTTGTGAAGCCTCCCATTTTCCCCTGGCACCCAGAACAGAGATCTGTCTTGAGGTCCTGCAGGGCTGCTGGTGGGAACTGCTTAGGTAAGTGCCTCCTAGCCAGGGCCTGCCTCTGATATCCTACACCCTCCCTCACCCTAAATCCCTGCTCCACATCCCCCCCCCCCCAACTCTATGCACCACTCCTGCACCAGGTCACCACTCCCTCCCTGATCCTGTATCCTCTCTTATATTCCTTCTCCAGGCCAGAATCCTCTCCTGAACCCAACCCCCCTCCTTGACCTTTTACCCTATTTCCCTGCTCCATGTTATCGCCCAAACCCTCTGCACTCTTTCTTTCAGGTCATGACTTACTCCTGGATTGTACATCCCAAATCTCTTGCCTCAGATCACGACAATCCCCTCCTTCACCCAAACTCCCTCTCAGACTCCCCACACTCTGTCTCCTGAATCCCAGTCCTGTACCCGGAGCTCCCTTCCGTGACCAATCTACGTCCCAGACCCCACATCTCCATATAAAAGTGTGGCCCTTGACCACTTTCCAAAATCTTGGAGTGGCCTCCCTATCAAAAATTATAGCTCATCTCTGGCATAGAGGCTATATTTATTTGCAAATATGTATTAATGATTAGCAGCCAGTAAGAATCTACCTCTTCAATTATTTTTCCTCACAATAGCACAAATGAAGAAAAAGGCTAAATCATTATTAAAATTGGTGATGTAAATCAGTCTGCCCCAGAGAGGTTCATATCCTCTGTCTCTCTAACGTTGGGTCATTTTATGAACACCAGTGCAATGTGATGCATAGATTTAAGTACTAGGAGGAAGAAAAGCCACTATCTCCTAACAATAGCATTATATTTTGAAATGTATAGACTCATAGCCTTCAGGGCAGACGAGACCATTCTGAACACTGCAGGGGTTCTCAAACTGTTGATAATTGTGGACCACATCCAAAACTACCTGTATGGCCTTGAGGATGTCACATGAGTCACAGCTGTGTGCTGATTGGCTTACAGTGGCTCACAGGCTTCAAACTGAGAACCTCTGAGTGTGACCTACACATTGCAGACCAGATAACCTCACCTACCCACTCCTAACAGATCCATAACTTCTGGCTGAGTTATTGAAGACCAAAGGGACCACTAAGATCATGTAGTTTGATCTTCTGTTAGACACCTATTTCTGATCTGAATGTATCTGTCGGACCATGTTGTACCCTTTACTGTGAAATTGAAGAGCTCGTTGACCTATATTGTTCTTATAGATTGGGGGTGGGGAACCTAAAGCCTGGGGGCTGGATCCAGGCTAGCTTCCCCTAAGACTTGGGCTTTCTTCCCCCAGCATTGAGGAGCCCATGCTGGTACTCCTGCCTCATTGTGCCCCACCCCTTGCAGCTCTCCCCGTGGGGCTGGAGTCCCAGCTGCCTACTGTGGAGGCAAGAACCCAAAGCCTTGCTTGCAGGCCAGAGTCAGACAAGCCAGAGCTGGATCTGATCCATGGGCTCTGCCTAGTAAGGGAGGAAGCGGCTCTGTGTGCTGCCACTCCCTCTGTCCCTGGCTGACACAGTAGAAAGCTGCCTGGAGGCTTTTCCCCCACAAAATCTACTAGCCTGGGCCCCACTATGCTCTGGTGTGCGAGGGGAATACAGAACTGGTTCTTTGTACTACTTTGTTCTTTTTTGCTTCTCATTTCTGTGTGGCCCCCAACTGAATTTTCTGTGCGTCAGCAGCCCGCAACCTCCAAAATATTCTCCCCCACTATAGATACAGGAGGCCCCCAACTTGTGATGCGATTGGTTCCGGAGGAAGCGTCACAAGTTGGGAGTGTTGTAACTCGAACCCACATTTACGATAGGTGCTGTGCGCCATCATAAATGTGGGCCAAGGACGTAAGTTGGTGGTTTCCGGCCCCTTGTGCACTTACAAAAATGGTTATAAGTGCGGGGGGGGAGGGTGTCTGAACTTGGGCGGTCGCAA